AATAAGAATTTAAAAAATTTGGTTTTCTAAAAAACTTCTTTGTGTAATTTTTGCAAGTAACTTTTGCATTTTTATATCAAAAAAGAGTATTTTATTTTGAATTCAATCGTATATGTTTTTAATAATGCAATATTGTGCAGTTACAAGAAATGAAAATTGCATTTAATACGTAGTTTGGCATTTTTATATTCTTGTTTGACATGCACGTTTGATATGGATATTGAATTAAATAAAATAACTAAGAAGGTGATAATGATAAATAATGATAAAAGATTAGAATTAACTAGATCGATTTTGTTCGATCAAAAGTTTACATGAATTTTATATTAAAAAAAAGGTTTTTAGGTTTTTTATTACAAGTTTAATTCTGAGATATTATAATCGAAAATGTATTTGCAATGTATTTTGTTTGGATGCTTATAATGCTGTTAATGTTTATTCTTATAAGCGCTATTTTTAATCGGTCATTTTGATTTCCGTGCTTTTAACGAAAACAAAAAACGCCGTTATAACATTTATTATAGACGATTGTTTGCGCATCGACATAAAGAATAAAAAAACAGTTAATTTTTACTGTGTTTGCACAAGCGTTAATTTTATTAGACTTTCTTGATGAAAATATATTATGTAATGTATGTTATGTAACAAATTAAAAACTTGTGCAATTTTTGCTCGTCTTGTTTAAAAATTCATATCTACAAAGGGACCTTTTCTCGCTGATTTTAATAAGTTTAATGTATAATGTATAATGTATAATGTAAGTATAATGTAGATACATAATTATAAACATATAATATATATATAATATATACATTAATGTATATACATTAATTAAGAGAACATGGCATATGGACCGTTAGCATATAGTAGACAGCGTACTGTCTAAAAGTCCCGGGTTCGATTCTCGGCAGAGACAAAATATATTTACGCTCGTTTTCTCTCGGAAGGCAATGATAAATCACCGAGTAGTATCTTGCTTAGGAAACCTCTCTATCAAAAAAATTGCCGTTTGGAATCGGCGTTAAACTGTAGATCCCCATATACAATCTTGTGCGCGCCACAAGTGTATGAGAGGAAGGCGCCCACTGATGACGGTGTTATGGCGCTTGAAGAAGAAGAATATCTGTACATAATTGTAATGCTATCTTTCCTGTAATTAATAGTGAAATTACTCGATGCAACTCAAATTCAAATATTTGTGAGAAAAATTAAACTTTTACGTGTTCTCTCTCTCTCTCCTTGTGTATTGAGTCGGAAACACACCGAATGACTATATGTAAAATATAGAGCAACGGATTAGTTAATAAATCGTAATGTTGTGTATTGTTGTGTATTAAATCTCACTTTTTTCATATTTTTTTCTCTATATCTATATGAATGTGATATGCATACATATTTTTAATAGGAAAATTATAATTTTCCGATGTATTTATTTATCATTTATGTTATACAGATATATATATATAAAAATGTGTTTAAAAAATTTGGAATTATTTTTTTAACGAATTTTTTATTTATATATATTTTTACTCATCCAAGAAATCGTCAAAATTCTTCTATACTTTTGAATAATAATTATCATAGAAACAATAATAACATAATATTAGTTTGCAATGAATATGTTGTATGATGTGTAAAGAATGACATTTTTGCAAAAAGTTTCTTTAATAAAATAACTAGAAAACAAACATTTATAAATATTGATCTATTATTAATTAATTTTGATGCATTCCATACATATAAAATCATTGATTTAAATATTATTTGTAATATAGAAGCGTTTAATTGAGAGAGTGTATTTTTATAGTATCTTCTCGTGTATTTCCTTAATAAAATAGACACATTTTGCAAGCATTTAATAAAATTTTTGACGATAAAAATAAACATCATAAGACTGGAAAAGAAGAATATATTTTAGCGGAATTACTTTAATAATATAAGATGCTTCTTTTTTTATCTTCTTCAATTTTGTCAGAAATAATATAATCTTTTCCTTAATAATATAATCTTTCCTGCCTACGAATCAATTAGTAATAGAATTTTATTTGTTTTATATATGGAAAAAAATATTGACTTTTAAAAAATATGTTAAATCAATTTGCATCTCTCGAAATTTATTGTCGTCTTTTTTTCCGCGATGTCGATTGATTTTTTCGCTTCACTTATTTTGTGAGCGGCTGTATATAGATAAAACCAAATTTGTCCATTAATTTTGCATTTTCTATTTGTAAGGGACATTTGTTGCCGATTACATAATATAATATAGAAATAAAACACTTGATTGAAAAAATTAATTCAAATTTTTTTAAATACATATCTAGATAGCATAAATAATAAATAAATGTATCACAAAATTATAGTTTCCTTGTTAAAAGTTTATTGCACAAATTTAGTCATATAAATGCAGATTAAAAAAAAAAATGAAAAGGATCTAAACCCAATCAATACGCAATGCTTCGGCATATTAGTCATCGACTTATTCCGTCGCCCTATAGTCTAGGCTTCGTTCATTAAAAACCTGTTTGTCCCACTTGGTAAATAAAGTACACGAAAAACTAAAGTAACTTTTCTCGCGAATGCTTAGAGCTGAGTCGAATAACTTTGCTTTTTGCCTTTAATTTGAAAGAGTAGTACTACATTATATGTATATTGAGATGTCTGATTGATCCTATTTATATTAAAAAAAGTGATTAAATAACCGAAGTGTGTTTTCAAAGTCAAAGAATATCACAGGTATTGGTTACTTGCTTTAAATTTATTATGTGCGTAAAAGTTAGTTCAAGAAGACTTTGATCGGAAAATGGAGTTTTGTGAACTTATTGAAATACGTGGAAATAATTTCGCAAATTAACATTGTCCTTTCTCGCTTTCTGTGCTTGCTTTGTGAGCGGCTTTCATCGCGAAGATTATTAATAAGGAATACAAAAGCCGTAAGGCTTAAATAGTTGATAGAATTCGGAGATTGTTATAATAGCGAAACTGTTGTGGTCATGTAGACTGAATGTCATGATCCGTAAACAAAAGATCCCGAGGTCGAATCTCAATCGTTTCATTAATTTTTCTGAAATTTCCTACATTATTTTGACAATTGTGTACATTATATGCATTATTAAAAAATTAAAAAGATTTTCTGCCCTCGTCGTTAGAAACGACGGAGATAAATCCTGGAAGTTTTTTTGTCAATTAAAAAATTATGTAGCAGAGATTGCACTAATTTACAATAACAAATAATTTACAAATACAAATAATTTAAATACTTAATACATATAAGCCAAAGATATGTTCAACAACAAAAAGAAATATGGGCAATATTTGATAGACAATATCTTAGGCGTCTAATAATATTTTTTAATTTATTTTTATTTCTGGTGGGGGGAATGAAAGGGATTTTAATTGATATTAATAATATTGATCATCGAATTAATAGATCGAATTATAGAGCCATTACGTTGAAAGTCTGCTAAATCAAAGCGACACGTAGGTAATATAATTAATTGAATTTATTTCATATTAAAAGACTTTAGCAACCAAGATCCTGCTTGTCGAGGAAATGCTACGTTTCGCGTTGTAATATTTTTTAATTTTTTAATTTATTATTAAACAATCGCTTATGTCGTCAATCTTTTCATGTTATCTTTAACTTGCAATGTAACGATTTAAAATCAAAATTTTTCTTTTAAAATCGACAATGAAATGATCATATCGATAATACATTCTTCACGAGAAATTTTTGTTGACAGATTCTCCTTGATGTTATGACCATGTAGTGTTGTTACCACTTTCAGATTGTAAGAGATAAATAAATAACGGAGCTAATCGGACTCTCAAACTCCGAATTCTTTATTTACTACCCGCGAGATTTACGATCTACATGACCGTGACAGTTTTCTGACGATAAATATTTATATTCCCAATCTCTTATTAATATAACTTATACTTTATTTCTTACATTAATATTCTATCGAAAATCGGTTTTTACAAAAAAAAAAAAAAAAAAGTGGGAATGTTGAGGATCCTAATTCATTTCATTCATCAATATATTTAATCCTGACAATATGCTCATGAAAATAAAATCTATTGTTAAAAAGATTTCTTCGTTAAATAGTTATCTCACTATTGTTCTAAAAAAAGATTATTAAAATTCGGAGTTAATTAACCGGAAATTCCTTATATCTATCAAAGCGAATTCATCCAACGAATTAGAATCTCCGTCCAAAAACCGAAGAGATGATAACAAACGTTACATTACATAGTTATGACATATTAGGTAATCAAGTCACTTTTTTTATGATACTTAACATCGCTGCTGTATCATTTAATCTGGATTATTTCTACTCTTAATTTTTATAGAATGATAAATTTAATTTATTTTAAAAAAGTATGTTTACTTTGTCAAGCAAAATTATTTGTTCTCAAAATTGTGTGGAATTTAAAAATGTATTTTTATCTCATATTTTTCATTGCAATATTAACGACCATGGCAATCGTGCAGATTATAATGCCTGAGTCAACTCAGATTTGTATATATAGTTTTCTTTAAGTATTTTAAATTAAGTTGTTATTAAATAAAATTAATTTTTTCACCTCTAATTTTATCAATCATTTATAACTGACTGAATGATAAAAAAATTAACTAACTATAAAATAACATTGATTTAATTTGTTTAAAATATATAAAAAAATATTATTTCCAGCTTTTTTTTTTAAATAATGGTATCTTAAAATTTAAATAAATAAAAATGTGATTTATGGATTGAAAATAATATTAACTAATAATATTAATAATAATATTAACAGTCAACATAAATCTCAGAAAAATTTATAGAAGTTTTAAACATTTATAGAAGTTTCAAGATTTATGTCATTCCAGCGCTGCATTATCTTCTATAACTTAGGATGACCGTAAAAATAAAGAAACCATGAAATTAGGTTCGTTACGCTATTGTACTTTAGAAATTTAAAAATAGGCCATTTTAAAAATAGACAAGTTTTTCACGTACCTAGCCTTTTGGAGATTTCACTGTTATGCATTTTGGGATTTTCTTGTGCTATCTTCCGTCGTTGTAAACGTGACCAAACCATGAAAGCATTCATGGGTCGTTTTATGTGTTCCACCTGAACCTTCTTCCCAGCTGAGCCTAGCGGGCTACCGAGACTGACTCCCATATGACCGACGGCAGTAGCACTCGATGGTGAAGTGCCTGTCATCCCTTGCATACTTGCTCGTAAGGTTTCTGTAAAGGGCCCGTCGCACATATTGCCGCCGGCTCTGAAATTAGACAATTACCAATTAAGGATTCGTTCCAGTGTGGCCAACTCAAAGATTTACATATATATATATATATATATGCGTCTTTGGGTCTTTTGTAAAAATGTCAAAGGTGAAAAATTATTACTAAACAACTTTTATTTTTAGACTATTTTAAAAAGAAATCATTTTTCTTATTAACTTTTAAGAAATCTTTTATGAAATATTAAGCATTTTTCCATTAAGCATTTTTTCGATTGACTATTAATTAATTACTTCTTCTATCAATTATCATATTTATTTAATACTTACGTTCCGCAATTTGTTATTATTTGATAAGTTATTTGAAAAAATTTGCACACTAGAATGTAACATATAAATCGCTTATAATTGTCTATATATTTGTTTTATAATTTTATTATTACCAAGGAATTATTACTTCTTATAGTTAAATAAGAAAAGAAAAGCATATTTTTAACAATACAAATGTTTTTAGCATTTCTGTTAAATTTTGAAGTTTAAAATGATGAATATATGATATAGATTTTTAATAACAATTTTTATATTAGTTAATGTTATATTAGTATTATTGACGGTCAGCTAAATTACGAAATCTTAGCTACATTATTCTAAAGTTTTCATGAGGGATCAAAAGAGAGAAGAGTAAGCTTTCCTCGTAGCATATAATTGCTTATTCGTTTGCTTTCCGATTCATAAGCAAATTAATCTTATCTGTTTCTTCAAAGCCATTAACCAATCTCGGCATGTTCTACGTGCTTTCTTCATTCTTTACTTTAAATGTTACCCCTGTGGCCAGAGGGTACGCCAAACGATTCTCCTTCTCCTTTCCTTTTCTCCCTCAATTCCTCTGCCTCTGTCCTGTTCTTTTCACTCCAAATTCTAAGTTCTCGAACTAACACAATTATCGCACTGAATCTCCTTGGCGTTTGTTAAAAAAAACCTGTAGTGGTTGAGGGAGGATGAAGAGAGAGGGAGCGGTTACGATTTTGTAGGGCGCCCCCTTGTGCGGAGGAGAGGACAACGAGAGAGCGAGTGCCACCCTCGAGTGTCATTCAGGGCGGATTAATAGATACGTCGGTTAGGCGAAGTTGCAAGGGGTGAAACAACCACCCCGTCATCATCGTTCCGTAGTGTTTGGGGCGCTCTTTGCGAATAGCCCCCCCCATTTCTCTTTCTCTCTCTCGTAAGAGAGAGTAACTCACTGAGATCGAGAAGATGCTGGAAGTAATGACTGTTGACAACGACCGATGGGGGATTAGGAAGTGATAATTGAATGTTTAGGCATGGGTCACTGACAGAACCAGGAATACACATCAAGCCGCAATTTACTGACTGTTTCGATCAAAAACGTTTACTTTTCGAAACTACACTGAGAAAAAAGTTCCTTTAGATTTAGCAATTCTATTTGTTTGACTTGAATTTATTTAATTTAAACAACATAATTTTATATTAAACACCATTTTGTTGAGTGAAGTTTTGTTATTTCGTTAGAGAATATCATGTTTAATGGAAAAAAAACACTATTATTTAAAGAAATAAAATTTATTTTGAACTAAATAATACTTTGTTTGGTTAGATTAAATATTGTTACAATAAAAGAAAGAGATTCTTTAATATTATTAAAGTATATAATAAAGAGCGTTACTTTTTACAAATAATTTATTTAAACAAATATTTTATTTAAAATAAGCTATTTATTATTTTAAAAACGATCGAATTTATTGAATCAATAATTGATTTGTTGGACTATTTCAAAACATAAATTTCTTTGAATTTAATAAAATTTATTAAATTCAAAAAAATCGTTCTCTCTGTGTATGTCTGTGTAATTTATGAACAAAACGAAAGTTTATGTTTGGCGTTTCGTAATACAACGATCACGATGAATAGCATTAAACTTGATGGCTCGATCGCAAAAGTTTGATTATACATACAATCGGAAAGCGCTGAATGTTAGGCACAAATCACGCGTTTTGAATTATAAATTTAAAAGCAGATTTACCGTGTAAAATTTTATTTTGCATGTCATTTGTCGTAACTTTTTTTTTAAGTTATTATAAAGTCTTTAATTACGCTATAATCAAAACTTTTTCAAATAAGTGCTTTTCCAAATTTAATGAATTGTTTAATGACTTTTCATTTATGCAAATAGAATATTTCTCAATAAAGTTTTTAAAATTTCTGTTTCGTGTATTAAAAAAATATGTTTTCGTTTAGTGTAATTTAAAAATATCAATTGACAAAGTATAACTTGGAGTTAATTAAGCAGTAAAGAACTTCATCTTATTGATATATTAAATCATTAATCGATAACATTATCTAGAAACATAGAAAATATATTGGAGTTTCAGAAAACTGACTTTTCATGATAAACTTAATCCTGGTGTTTTTTAATTTTAGCAAAAAGATAATACTTATTTGGCATTTTGTAAATAATTATTCACTTTTAACAAGTGATAACAAGTGAAAACAATAATTACAACACTTTTAACAATAATTACACACTTGTAACAATTACTCACACTACACTTTACTGTTTAATATTTTCCAAGTTAATATTATCAATATTAAATATTAATTTAAAAATATTAATAATTAATAATTTATATTTATTTAAAAAATTTGGATTAATTTTAATTTATTTTAGTCCATAAAGTTGTATACGTTTATAAAAAATTCGGAGCAGTGTGTAATTACAACACATAACATATTAGTCAGTAAAAACTAATTAATAATAAAAATTTAACTCTAACTAATCGGGAATTTTATAACATACATGTTTTAGCATACATATTTTTAATACATATATTTTAACATTAGAAATAACTTTGGATTTTAACATTAGAAATAACTCTGGATTTAATAAAGTTTTTTAAGTATTTCCTTTCATCTATTTATGTTATATGTTTTATATATGGTGTTTTATTCAGTCTTGTTTAAAGATATTTTCAGATTAAAATTTAATGATTTAAACTTTTAATAATTTCGCAATAGATATTTAAACATTGAAATTACATTTTGTAAGTTATTATTTTATTACTTTCTTAATTTGAAGCTTAAATACTTGTAGCTTAAATAATTAAAAAAGTTTAACTTTCTTCTATTAATTGAAAGCATATATCATTCACTATGTAATTACACAATAAGAAAATATTTTGTCATGAACATAATGCAATTAATCTTATATGTTTATTTAAATTAACTTTTGATATTTTATTTTCAAAAAATTGTAATACAACTTTAAATAAATCTCTTTTATATATTCTAAAACGTGAATAATTTAAGAGAGATTCATTTAATATGCTAAAATCATTATTTAAAGAAACAAATAAAATATATGCTTTTCAAGAAAATGTGGCTATAAATTAGCTTATAGATGTTTGAAGATATAAGAAATTCTTTCGAACAAAGGATACTTCAAATTTATTATCCATGATTCATATTTATTATTCATGATTCAAGGTACGTCTTTGACCTGTAAATATATGTAAAATTCCAAGATCGAATGCAAACAGCAGTTTTAGGCATGTATAGATATGTGTACGTCCGTGTTTTTGTGTTAATTTTTGTGTTGTTAAGCTTCTCAAACTCGCGATCTCAAATAAATTCATTTCTTTATACTTTTTATATTGAACCAACCTCATAAAGTGGTGGCCGGCGGCTCGTTGGTGCAACTCCAGCTCAATTTTGCTGCCGTGGTTGAGACTCTCGTCTCACAAAAGATCGGTCTTAACAATATACACTATGGAAAGAACGAGAGAATAGAATTGAGAGATCGGTCACTGCACTATTCAATCCGTTTTGCACATAATGTGAAACCAGTTCCTCGTTTCACTGTCACGTCACACCGGGTCCTAATCCTCCTGTTAGTCCCTTCATACGTTGCAATCGTTACGGTATATCTTCATCTACAGTCGAGTCCATCTCTATTAGCGCCATGACAATTACGAGATACGGATATCGAGTATTTCAGTCAATCTTGATCTCTCGAGCTGATTCCGCGAACGCGTGGCGAAGAGACGGGGAATTGTACGTTCCACCTCACTTCTCGGCTACAGAGTGCCGGCAGTGCTGAGTGTGGAAGCTCGAGTAAGTCCGCACGTTTCTCGCCCCACCCGAGTTGCACAATTCGTGGTCGTGGCAAGCACGGCCGTGGACCAATCGTTTCTCGTTGGAGGGCGGAGCATGGCTCGTTGAATGTTTCTGATTGGCCTCAGTAGCAATTGTCGATAGTGGAGGTTACATACCTATGCTTCTAATAGCGCGTCCTGTCTCTCTTTCTCGCAATACTCTTCTTTTCGACCTCTCCTTGCTTGTCTTACAAGAAACGCTTCTTTCAATATCAAAATAGACGTTTACGAAGAAACAATTATATTTCAAATAATAAAAATTATTTTCTTCTGTGTACAGCCGAGTCCTACAAAAATAAAAAATTATTGATAATAAGTTTTCCAAAAATTACTCTACTCTGTCAAAAGCTGAGTTTGTCTGAGCACACACTCTTCCGATTTAAACGTAATAGAACGATATATATTTTTTACTTCCATCTATTCTGTTTGTTTTATCTGCTAATAATGCTAATGGTTAATGTTATTTTATATGAATAATTTAATTTTAATCTGTTGTATACGTATAGATATATCTTTTCCTCGACTATAATTCATGAACTTCTAAAGTTATCCAATTTCACTGTTTTTTTTTTGCATATTAGAGTAATTCGAGCTAATGAGTGGAAAATAAATGAAAATACAGAAACAAAAAAATTTGTAACTGTTCTGTTATCCCATTTTAATCACAATTGAACCCGGCCCATGAAGAGTGGGAGATAAGTTTATAAGGAGGTGGGACGAACGAAATGGTGGACTAGTATTGGACTAAGAGAACGCGGCTAAGAATGAAAATAAGAAAGACTTCCCTTCGATACCAACCGCTCTACCACGCTTTACTTTTCTTCTTTTTATATTATTTTTTTTTCTTTCTTCTTCTCTTCCTTTCACGCTTCTTCTCTCTTCCTCTTTTATGAATTCTGTATTCGCAATTTATTCTCTGGTAGGATATTGTGTTCGTTTTCACAACGTAACAAAAATGGTAGCTCGCTCTCGCCATTTTGCTCTTTTTTGCGGGACTCCACGGAAGAAATTTTCTCAAGGGGGTACTAAAGTAAAGGCTTTTTTCGCAACAGAGTTAACCCTTTGCAATTCTATGTCGCTCGGTAGTGACATCTTTCATGTCGTTTCGGTAATATAATTGGAATGAACAGGATAGAAAGCTAAGTCGAAATATATCATAAGCGTTTGCTTGTAGTGATTCGACTGCAATGAAGATGGTTGTGTATCGAAAGACCTTGAGGAATTATTAGAGACACAGAAGTTTTTAACTTAGAAAATTTGATTATCGTTGCAACATATTGTAGAAAAGCTTGTGATGTGCTTGACTCTAGAAAGAAATCGATTATTAATAAAATTATTTATAATAATTTTAAAAGGAAAAAAAGATTTTAACTTTTGGAATGCAAAAGCCTGCACATTTGGGATTATTTTATTAACGATTATTTTTTTCTTGCCACTCATAAGAAAAATGTCTTTCTCCGATTTTGGTGAGCTTGTAAAATCTGTACTAAAATAAGAAATACATATTTTTTTATACGTTAAATTATAACTTAGTATATAATATACGAAACTATAGGAGATAGAAAAACATTTTTTAAATAAAAGTCAAATGATAACGTTATGAAAAAACATTAATTATGTTAAATTTAACATACTTCTATCATTCAGTTTTAAATCTGAAAAATTATTTTTTATGAAGTGGAAGGACTGACAAAATGAAAAGATAAACTTTATATAAAGAAATCAAAATGTATATTGAAAAACTTCTATATGTACACTATCCGCATTAGTTGTGTAATTATTACCTATTGTGTATGCTACATATTGTTTTCATACTTTTCGATAAGAAATGATTACTATAGATATATAGATATATAGTATATATGAAATATATATATATATATATATATATATGAAACTATTCTATATATAATAATTATGTAAGGATGTATGTATTTAGATTCCCCACTCGAGTGTCTTCATGTGTCATTTTATTCTTGTTGCTCATTGTATGTTAAACAAGAATAAAATGACACATGGGAGACTCGAGTGGGAAATCTAAACATATTCTAGAATATATAACATTTTAATATACACCTTATACAAAATATATAATACATACATAGAGTTCCTAGAAAGTTATGATTAATTTGTAAAGCTGATAGATTTCGTAAAATTGAATTACATTTGATAAATCATAAGTGTTTAGCAATGTGTCCTTAAAATGTTAGATGTCGTTTTTAATTAAATATCATTAATGGGACTTGTCAATAATTTACACATCCGAAATTAACTTAATGAATATGAAATAAATTAACAGAATAATGAATGTGATATGATTTATAACACGAATTGGAATTTTTTAAAGATATAGTTAACACACCGTGAGTGCTGCTTATTTTGGAAATTAATAATTTTGATAATACTTACATTTTAAAACTTAACATAACACAATACGCGCGCGCCTCTCTTTTTCCACACACGTACATTATACGCACACATATACAACGCACAAACATATACTCATACGCACGTACCATTAATGGACGAATAAATATACACATGCCGAGATACACATTACACACACACACGCACACACACACACACACACACACACGCGCGCAAGAATTACTAATGATTGACGTGTGCACGATGTGCGCGCGCGCACATCGTGCACACGTCAATCATTAGTAATTCTTGCCTAAATAATAAATTGATTAATACAACTTCTAAAATAGAGAGAATAGAGAAGGCAAATATTTGGTAAACTCTTAGGAGTTTGATAATTTTTTTTTTTATTGAACTTATATATACAAATTCAGAATTAATTACTTACATTGCGAATTACGTGTCGCTACTCTTAACAGACTTACGACGCAACAGCTCAAAGTTATTTTAATAAGTGGATTATTAATCGATTTTGATTTCGATTATCTGCCATCTCTTTTTTTCTAGAAAAGGAATGCATCGTACGGGTGGTCCAGATAATTCATCATTTCCCAAAATGATATACAATACACAATAAGAATTTTCTGCTGCGTTGTAAAATCTTAAAAATAACGATATATAACTTGTATAATTTGTATAAGCAATTCTTTCTGAATTTACACACACACACACACACGCACACACGTAAACACGCGCGCGCGTGTTTAAAAGCGATATTCATTATCCATTCTTATTTGCCTTGATTGGCCTCTATTTTACTGATGACTGTATTTTACAAGCCCATGTAGCCCAATCTATCAACTGGGACACAAGATATCATCTATCGAGTTTTGGTTAAACAGTTAATCTATTAAATAATCTTGGCAATTTCTAAGTGAAAATTGTAGAGATATTATAACTTTATGATAGGAACGAAATATTTTTCAATTCACATAAAATTTAATTTATAAAAATTTATTTATTCTGCTATTTTTATTTCATAATTTTGACCTAATTTATAATCAGTGATCATAAAAGCTTATAAAGCTTATATTTTGTAGAAGGCTAGGAGAGGTCGCAATACAATTTATGATTTGTCAAAATTGGTATAATTCCGGATAAAAAAAATAATCCAAATTCTATTTTTGTTAAATTTTGAATATTATATTAATATTTCAAAGAAATTCTGTTATTTAGAGAAGAATGAGAGAATATTTCTGTTATTTATATTTTATTATAATTGCCTCAAGGCATTATTAATGATTTGTTATCTTTAAGGATAAAAAGAAAATGCAATTCCGAACTGATTGTCCTGCGAAATGGCAAAGAGATAATAACAGCGTTGTGTAAAGTGGCGTCGATTGCGAGCATATTTATGGAGCTATATTTTTCATGTGGACACTCGATTCCGACACTCATTCTTTATGGCTCATTGATCGTCTCTTGTTTATTTCCAAGTGCCAATAAGGGTACTTTGTCGAAGGGAATGATCGAGTTTGGATATTGCCTCATCATTAATGTGGCCGATTTGTCAGTCTCACGCTTGCTTTTAATCTTCTTTGTTCACAGAGTGTGAATCTGATTGATTACACTACAATAATAATTCATTCTTATGATATATGCTATGATATATGAAAAATGATTATGATATAATAAAAAAATTGAAAAAAATAAAAAAATAGTTGTTTATAAGAGTTAATTTCATTATTAGCTCTTATAATGTAATATCTATAATTTCCATATTTACATAAGCACACCTAATTCTTTTTTAGCGCAACATTGGAAAATATCGATCGCAAGCTCGATCTCTCCCTTCGACGAACTTCTCGCCTTTATTGGCACTTGGAAATAAACAGGAGACGGTCAATGTAACAATAATATTATTATTATATAATGACTAATATAATTTCATTTCTGGAAGTAGCAATGCGCTTTTAATTTTTTAATTAACGCATAACGTCACATTACATTCCTTTTTACAACGAGACGCTTTGCCCCGAGGCGAATTTTCTCTGAACTAATTAACCGGAAGTGTCTCTTGAAATTCAGAAAGACACAAAGGGCGCGCGAACTGTTTATCCCGTAGGAGATTTATTCCCTCGGCGAACCAGGACACGCGCGTGCTACGTACCCCGGCCAGGGCACACTGTCGCACGCGTCGCCGAACACGCAGCATATGAATATCTAATGTACCCCCGTCTACAATTAAATTCGGACAATATGTTTTGTTACGGGAGGGGTTGAAGCGCGTCGTCGTGCCACCCTCGAGGCCGCTTGAAGGATCCCCTGCTCGCAACGGGGGCAGAGGGTTCTTCACCCCACGGGGCAAATCCATCGTTGAATAACACCCCAAGTGTAAATCTCGGTTGCGCGAGAAGGATACGCTATGACAGGCGATAATTTCTCTCGATTAGACCGACGCCTGCGGTACTCCGAGAACAAATCCCCGACAGTATCTTATTTGGAAGATAAACGCGTAATGAAATATTTTGCTTTGGAAAGCTATGAAGAAGTAAACGATTAAATTGTTAAATAA